AGGTGCTTTCTCCCCCTGGTATCTCAAAAAAACGAAAAAAAAAAAAAAAAGGCAAAAAAAAAAGCAGCTGGCTCACAAAAAGCTGCAGCAGCCAGACAGCAGAGTATCATAGTTGCTGGCCCAGCATATCCCTTCTTGCATGCTCCTTGTACCTTGCCCCCTGAGGACACTCTTGTCCAAGGCTGGAAGAGGCACTGGCAATACTTATGACAAAAAATTATAACAAGAAATTAGACTATTCCCAGGTTTGTTCTCCTTTGCAGAACTCCTATGCCGCCCACCTGCCCTCTGCCACCAGACTCCTCCCTGGGAAGGAAAGATGCCAGCACAGGACATTCTTCCATTGTACGTGACTGATGTAAAACTTTCATCTACCCAGTGTTGTATTAACAGATTTTCCTGTGGGTAGATGAACACATGGAGCCTGGTTTCAATAGGCTGGACTGAAGATATGGATCCATGGAGACATGGATGGGCTTTGCCATCCTTTAAGGTAAAGCTACCAAATGAAAGGATTCCTGCCTCTCAACTGTGCAGACTCTCCTAGAAACAGATGGCTTGAGCAGTTTGAGTTGGGCAGATTCACAAGCTGATAATCATCTCCAGGGAGGCAGGAGCTATTGTCAGAGCCTGTGAGACACACCCCAACTTCAGGCCTTTTTCCTCCCAATTCTCAAAATGTTGCTGAAATTCTCACTCCAGGAATGCTGAGCAGAGACATTCCCTTTGTGGGTCTGTGCCTGCTAAGCCAGAGGAGGCTCCTGCTGCTATAGAAGCCAAAATGCTTCCCCACACCCCACAAAGAGAAAACATCTCAAAAGATGAGGAGCCTCACCTGGCCAGTGAAAAAAACAAGCTGTGCTTTACCATGGTGCTGCTGGGAGCCAAGGGGAGGAATAGATACTCTCCCCAGGGACAGCACAGGAGTTAAAATGAGGAAGCAGAGGACACCAATTCAGCAGAAGCAGTCATTTCACACTACAGGTGCAGCTCCAAGCCCTGTGCCAGCCTGGGGACAGGGCCACGTGCCCAAGGGACACACCTGGAGCCACTGAACTCATGGCTGAGTGGTGCTCAGCGTGGATAGGCATCTGCTGCCTAAGAGCTCCAGTGGGATCACCATCCCCAATTAATGATCTACACTGATGTCATTGCTCTACAGGGCCAAAGCCTTTCTGGGGAATGCTGTCCAGCTGCTTTTACCAGGAAGATGACACTTACTGACATCAGACCAAGACAGACCCCGCACAGAGCTCACTCTGCCTCGGGAACCTGCTCCAAGTAAAGTCCAATGTCCCAAACTCAGGTCTGGGATGCCTCTACAAAAAGCCCCATTCCAGCAGTGATGAACACATGAGGAAAATGGTGATGAGCCCAGACACACAAGCAGATGGATGGACTGGAGGGGTGTCTCTAACACGAGGCCTTACCACGGCTCACAACTTTTAGAGCACAAATTTCTCTCATTTAAGAGTGATTAGTCTTGGAAGGAAGCATGTAACACCTGGCTCAGAATGGGGCATGGGTACCTGGAGCTCATTGGAAAGAGATGGCAAGATCAGCACAAGAAGGAAAATTTTGAGTGCAAAACCAGGCAGGGTGGCAACACCCCTTGGGACAGTGTTTTTACTGGGATCCAGAATGCCTCAGAGAAGCATCCCATCAGCAAGTCCCAAGGGGAGACTGGACAAGGTGCCAAAAACACGATAAAAACCAGGATGGATTTGTCTACTCTCCTGGTACCAGTATTCATGAGTACAAGAACACCCTGCTCACTCACCTGCTAGCCAAGCACAATCAAGACACAAAGAACATACCTCATGGTAACTGGCACTTTTAAATTCTCCTTTAGCAGAAATACCAGTATTTTCCAGTCTTAATGTTTTCTGAGGTGGTGATGCTTCTTGCCTTGTCTCTTCTTGGCAAGCATCATCTGTAGCAGTAACAGATGACCTAGCAGGAGTCTCACATCACAGTGTGTCAGAAAAAAGACAGCCCAGTATTTGTAATCACTGAATCACTTCAGAAAGAAGAATCTCCACTCAATCTGTGTAAACATGGTTATTTATTTCATTTTTTTAAAAGCAAGTTTATTTCTACATACAGAGGGCTTCACTTCCACTTCAGAGCATGTTACTGCTTTACATCCTCAAATAAAGATACCATTTCACTCACCATTGAATCCAGCAGCCTGTAAACCTACAGAAATTCAGAGAAGACTGCAGTGAAAACACATGAAGAAATCTTGAGGCTGATACTGACAGAAATGGTTTGAGGTACATTTGAGGTACATTTTCATATGTGCACGCACACAACCACACAGAAGTGGCGGCCTGCTGCTAACAGAGCTCTAGTAGTAACTTCCCTGGCTATGAAGTGTGTTTAACATTATCTGAGGTACAATTAATTCAGCTGATCCCTCCAGAGTCTGCAAGCAATGCTAAAGGCATCCCAGATAGAAGTCCCGCATGTGGCTGGATAATGGCTGGATTTCTGCTAGCAGATTCTAGGCTGAAACAAATTAATTTGGATTTCACACTTACCTTGCTGCAGCACAAGGGACATATGTCTGCCAGTTTTCTGAGTTTAACAAAATTCCTGCCTCTCCCCCTGAGCCTGAGTGTGCCTTACAAGAAAAGAACAAAACCAAGACAATGATACAAGCTTTGGTCAGACTCACTTCAATATAGAGCTTTTCCTGGTATGTTTCAAGTGCAATAGAGTCTGCCTGCTCCTGAGCAGGTTCTGCCCCATCTGTGTTTTCAGCTCCCTCTTTCACCGTCTGCTTCTCATCTCTTCCTTTGATGGACTCTGCCCCACCTTTCACGTCCTGCACTGAAATGGAAGATCCTTGTTTCTCATCTTTTGCTTTCAGCTTTCTGCTGCCTGAATGATCCTAATCAGGGACAGACCAAGAGAAAAAGGGACCTAGGTCAGGACACTGCTCAAGATGCATCTCCCAGCAGCAGCACATCTTTCACTGGGTTGGAAATCAGCTCAAACTCAGGATGGATCATGCTGTCCCCAGCACTCAGGGCTCACCAAGCATCCCAACACCTACCGCTTTCTCTTTCCCTGATGTCCCTCTGCTTTTCTTGCCTTCTTTATCCTTTTTCTCTTCTTTCTTAGTAATTATTTTGTCTTCCTTTCCTCCTTTATTTGCTCCTCCTTGCTTTACTTCCTCTACAAAATAAAGGATTTCAATTAACCAAAAGCCTCCACACATCCAGAAAGTCCAGCCCACTGCACTAGCACAGTGGGAATACTTTTGCAGTATATTTTCCTCTTTCTATTAATCTGAGATGTACTGCACTGAAAAACAATACCTTGAAGATTTCTTTTTTTAAACAAGGAATGAAGAGGTCTCATTCCTCATCCCAGTGTCTGCTGGGTCAGTCTGTGTGAAAACCATGGCTAGACCTAGCTAAATTAAAAGGTCTTTTTTGTGAGTGTTTTTTTTTTACTGATGCTAAACCACAGACCCCAGTTAGTACTGTCACACAATCTGCTGGGCTTTTTCCTGATGCTTTTGCTCAGGGAGACATATTGAAATTGTTATTTCAGTTCAAATTCATCATGTTTTTTTGTATTTCCAACAGAAATCAGTTGCTGTGCTCAAACCACCATTTACCTGTTTCCTCTGGAACAGCTTCTACATAGGTGTCCTTCTTAATCAAACCAAGCAGGGATCTCAGCCTCAGAGAGTGACTCACCAGGTCATCAATTGCTCCACGCCACAGCTGGAGGCTGAGAAAATGATCAGGATCAGGAGGGAGACAGTGCAGCAGCTGCCACCTTGTTTGACCCTGTGCCCAGAAGTGAAGGCACCTGACAGCTGCCCTGTGCAATTAAACCAACAGAACAGCACCCACTGTCTAAATATCTGTGCAGGGGGGTGCTAAATTGCTTTCCTCGTGTTAGATCCCTCCAAGGTCTCAATGGTTTGCAAATTAACAGGCTCCCAGGAACCCATAAATATTACTGTGAAACTAGGTCTGCTCTTCAACATGACACACATTGGTAAATCAACCTGCTCTGTGTTTCCCAAGAGGAACCTGCATCCTTCTAATTTAGAAGCAACTCAAAGCTGTTGATGTGTTTACAGTCTGATAGCCTGAGCAAAGAACAGAGAGACTGTATGAGGAAGGAGACAGTTATCTGAGTAAAAGGGTACAGATAATACCCAAAGGTTTCATAAATACAGACTGGAATAATCTTGCCAGAAATAATCTTGTACACTCTCCAAAACTACATGCATTTAATATTCTAAACTTATCTACCGGAAAAAAAAAAAAAAAGGCATTTGGGTCCTAGAGAACTGCTACAATTAAGCTATTAAAAAAATCAGAGTGTAAAGATGACTTCTAGAACTCGTATAATTATGTGCACTCTGACTCACAACACTCGTAACAGAGCTTGCTGACGCTGTTGATCACACAATGTTTTCACAAGCTCTTCCTTGCAAAGGTAACGCACCAGAGTGGATACAGAAGGTCTGACTGAGTTGGCCTCTGTTCAACACACAGCTCCAGAGCTGCCTTATTGAGCTGGGTCAGTGCTTCTTCCCGCTGCTCCTCCTCGGGGATTGACATTATAGCCTGTGAGAGAAAACACACAAGGGCTGTGGAGCACTTCTCAGTCTTTATTCCCAGTCCCTGAGTTCAGTGGAGCAGCCCACAGCTGTCTTCCTGGGCACCTGTCTGAAACCAGGCTGCACTGGACACTTACACATCCAGATGGGGCTTCCTACACAGCTAGGATATGGCCAAGGTTCCCAAGATCTGTGGAACAATCCCGGATTCCCCCATCAGACTGATATTAATTCCCTTTGCAACTTCAGGTGTGCTGGGAAACAGGGATTCTGTCAAGCTAGAAGGCTCCTTGTAAAGCTTAGTCATAAAAATAGAGAGATTTCCAAGACAGCACAACAGAAAAAGCAGGGACCGAATCCAAAGCACTCTTGCTTTAATCTAGGGAGGTCTGTACTTTATCCACAGCCTGACATGAGTGCCCCCTTAGTTCTCTGATGAATAGGAAGGACTCTCCAAGAAGAACCCTTGGGGGAGCCACAGGAGGCTGACACAGGAGGAGGGATGACAGAAAGCTAACAGGGGAAGAGCTTAAAATATCTATTATATTGTGTGGCTCTCTTTTCTTCTTCACACAACAGCCTGCAGAATCTCTCTTGGGAATCTCTTTACAAGAGCCCTGAGGGTGTGGCCAGCAGAGCCAACACACATCTTAAATCTCTCAAACTCCCAGCATACTGGCAGCAGCCCTTTAGGTGGGCTCACACTGGGGCAGGCTGGGCTGTTTGTAGGGGAATTAACACACCATCAGCTTGTGGGAACAGAGGTGACCACCTGTTTAAAGTCCTCGAGGGAAAGGTTCCATCCTGAAGGACCTGCTTCATCCTCCTCAATGCTCTTTTCCCTTGGAGCCTCCTCTGATGTGTACTTCCCACGTGTGAGCTCAGTGGTGCTGCTCTGGGCAGAGGGAGGCTCTGAGGTGCTCTCTTGGTACTCCACGTCCTCTGCAGCTCTCCTCTGGTCCAAGGGCACTTCCTTCTCCAAGCCTGAAGGAACAGCCAGGTGCTGTCTCCATAGTTTATGCAGCTGCTTTATCACTTGATGCTGATAATGCAACTGTAATAAGGGGGGAAAAGGTAAACATGAGCTGCACCTTCCCTCTTCAATCCCAACTGTTAAAGCCTCCATGGCAGACTCTGCCAGCTTCAGAACCCCAGGGATTCAGCAGCCCCATGGGTCTGGCCTCCCCACTTATTTCAGTTGTGCAGTCCATCCAATAGCAAACATCACCTGGGGATTTTTCCTGTGGAACAGCTCTTCCTCTGTGACACAGGCATCCACAGGAGATGGGGTGCGCTCGGGTGTCCGAATTTGGTCAAGAAGTTCATTCAGGCTGTCTTTCACTATAGCAGCACCTTCTCGAGCAGCCAGCTCACTCTGAGGCACCACAACAAGAACAACTTGTGTGAGTCTCCATTGCATATGCAAACACACAAATTCAGTCCTATCTGTAACCACACTATTCATTATAGAGTTACAAGGACATGAACAACTGCAAATACACAGCACAGCAATACTTCCAACAGTTTTTCAAGTAAATTCTACAAATCCTCCCCCCAAACTATACTTTTCAGAGCATAGTGTAATTTTCAATTTATACCTTAACTGCTACCATAGTGTACAGCAGTCAATCCCCTTCCCACTAAGTAGCTAATGAAATTAATTACCAACAGAAATTTCATTCTTTAAAGGACCAGGGTGAACACTTCAGGAGACACAGTCATGTCTTTAGTAACAACATTACAATAGAATGAAGATTTCCTCGTGTTATTTAGCAAACCTGCTCAAGTATGTGCAGACATTCTGTAAATCTCACTCTCAATAGTAATTGCACAACAATAAAAATACCATGTTGTCCACTCCTACCCTTATCCTCTATTTTCATATAAAGTTCAAAGCTCAGTTACCCAGCTACATGCTTGGTTACCTCCAGTTTCTCTCTGAAGTCAGCCAATTTATCCTCATACACAGCAATTCCCCAAAGGGTCACCTGAAGCAGAGCTCCTCCTAATAACACAGGATGTGTCCTAAATTCCCAGGGCTCACTGAAAATCCCTGCTCTCTCTGACTTGAAAATAAAGGAAAACCTCCGAGTTTCTCCAGGCAAAATTACACCTGAAGTAAGAGAGAAAATGCATTGGTCTGCAAGAAGCCACCTGGTTAGCCTGACAGTTTTCCAACACCACCCCAAGTGTCCTTATCTCTCTACAAGACTCTTTCCCCATAATTTAGCTGGTTATCACACTTCATCCAGCTATTGTTCTCCTTCCAGATTTACTCTCAGTCCCTACGTTCCTGAACTGGCGTTATTCCCATTGCACTCTCCTTCTACAGCAAGCTGGTTTTCCTCCAGAAGATTATGCCCTGTTTGCCATTAGAAAATTATTCACTGCTCAATATTTCACCCATTTACACTCAGAGCAGAAGCAACCTCCTTTCCTTTAAGTTCCAGGAGAGCGATCTGCCTTGCACAGCTCTTTTGGGGTGAGTCAGCTCTGACACCCAGGGTGTTTTCCTCAGGAGAAATCACCCAGCAGTTCTCTGCCATTAGTCAGACTCCACATCCCAGGTAACTCCCAAATTCCTGCTCTCTGCTTGAGGTAAAAAGGTCTTGGAGACCAGCAGGTCTCATACCTGGTCTGGTATCAAAGTAAAAATAGGGCATCCTCCTCCCCTTGGTTCCTCTGGAGGGGATCTGCTGGGGGAGCCTCATCCAGTTGTACCAAATGGCAGCTCTGCCATCATTGGTCACTGTCAGGAAGCTTTCAGCCTTCTCACTAGCCAGAGTCTCAAAGGTGAGCCGGGCAGCAATGCCAATTTCCTTCTACAAGGAAGAGGGAAAAGATAGCAATTTCTACTCTATCTGGCAGGAATTATTCTGCATGAAGTCATAGCTCAAAAAAGGGGTTGAGCCTTGCTAGGAGAACTTGTAAGGCAGGTCCAAAGAAGTGGCCATTATACAGAGAAAGCCTGGGAATCTGAACCTCACACCACAACCAGAGCTTCTGTTCCTAGATCTCTCTGGAGCAAACATTGGGATACTCTATTATGTTCAGAATAAGCCCCCATTGTGAGGCCTTGGAGTGACACTTACTGTACAACTGACTTGGGAACTCAAGTAGGCTTAGCTTGACTAAACAATTAAAATCTCACAATTACCCTGCAAGCAGTGACGCCCTTGATCCAACGAGCAGGCTGGCCACAGAAAACTAAAGATGGAACCTTTTCAACTTCTGGAACCACAATGAAGGAGTCACCTAAGGGGTCACTGCTAAAGAAAACAAAAGCCAACATTTTCATGGAGTGAAATTCACTTCCAGAGAAGGGAGAACCAGGGGTGATTTACGACCCCCTAAAAGAAATAATCCCATTTAATGTTTTATCACACAGCAATCTCTTTAGGGACACAACCCTGCAGATGTGGTGAACCCATCTAGCTACATGTCACTGACAAGGAGGACAGGACAGCCAGAATATAAAAGAATGAGACCTGCCTGAAGTACATGAGTGAAAAAGAACAAGAGGCCCTCAGGTTGTGTCTGTTACAGATAGACAGAACAAGGAAAACCAGGAAATTAATGATGGAAGGCTAGAAAAAGACAATCAAATGGAGATAATTGAGAGTAGAATCCCACCCTGCCTGATGTAAGCTCTGAAGACACACAGAATGAGAACTGGAGGAAGAGCCTCAACAAAACTTTTCTCTGATTCTTGCTCCTTAGACACAAAGCCCCAAGGGACAAAGGCTCCTAAATATGGTGATAATAATTTAAGAATATGCCTTTTATTATGTCCCAGTGGAGACTTGTCTCCATTCACAACAGCTAAGGATATCCTCAAATGGTGCACACACAAAATTCTTTATTTTGCCACAAAGTAAAACTTACAGGGTCTCAATCTCTTCAGAAATGGTGGTATCTCGAAAAGCCTCAGCTGAGACAGATGTGAAAGGCTGCCCTTTCCCAATCACCTCCAGTCCTTCCAGATCCTGGACATACACAGAATGACCAACTCACACTTGTTCTTTTATATATAGAAAGAACATTAAAACATCAGACAAATGCACCAACTCAGTCAAGTAAAGTAAAGTTGTGGTATCTTGCTCCTACAATGGTTTTTAGAGGTGTCCAAAGAATGCTCAAGGGACATGGGAAAGAACCAATTCTGAGATTCCCAGGAGTCCAAGATGATTGCATTCCCAACAAGCAATGATGCACAGAGAAAGTGTCCTTCACATATTTCTCACCCTCAGAGAGGTTTCAAAGACAAAAAAGTGAAGTTTGTTCTGTTTGTAGGAGGAGGGGCCACCTGCCTTCAGGAGATTATTTCTGTGTGTCTTCCACATGGGTAAAGATCTCTACCCTCTGTCCCATGGCACTAAATCAAAGTCCTGCAACAGTACTCAGCAAGTTTTTCCTAGGTCCTGGAAGCTGCGTGCTGCTGGTTAGGGGTCCTATTCTGAGGCTCCCAGACTCTACCCAACACTTCAGGAGGTCAGACAACTCCTTCATAGGTGTGGCCCTTTGGAAATGGGGGAACTTCCAGGAAAAGCACTGTGGAACAAAGTTTTAGTTTCCTAATGCTTTTTCCAGATCTTCTTTAGGCAATTTTGTTACTGTACAGCACCTGACAAGAGACACTAAGAATGTCCTTGTTCCTCTGGTCTTACCGGCTTAAAAAAGCCCAGCTCCTCTAGGAGAGATTTTAGCTCCTGCCGTCGATGTTTCAGGAAAAGACTCTTATCCCAGTTTAGGTGGCAAGGAATCTTCTTTGGAGGCTTCAGACCTGTGAAAATACCCACACAAGAGCTCACTCGCTACACACCCACATGCCTAATCAAATTTCATTCTCTGCCAAACTTTGGCCTTGTAGTGTTTTAACGAGGAGGCTTAACAAGAAGGAGCTGCTCCTCCACACTTGTTCTGCACTTCTTTGGAATCACCTCTCTGCAGTGTTCCCTTACCTGTTTCCCTCTGAACAGTTCGAGGTTTCCCCACATGAGTGAATGGCTCTGGGTGCCCACATTCTGTCCGAGTCAGGGTCAGAGTCAGCCCGGTGAGCTCATCCCCAATTTGCTCAGGAAGGCTCCAGAACTCACTTCCTACTCGGTATCCCTAGGGTGGGAAACAAGGCTCCCAGTGATACAGAGTTGTGCAGCTATTTTCACAGGCACGTGAAGCTAAAAAGAAGAGGTCTCATCCTGATTATATGAGCATTTTAAAAGTCTATGGATTATCCTTTTCTGCAGAGCAAGCCAACGTTTTCTATCAGGCTGCTGTCAAAGACAAAAGAACTTTCTTCTATCTAGTGCACGTGAAGGTAGAATGATATTAAAACAAAGCCTCACACAAATGAAAATTCTTTGATAGTGCTACAAATGTGAAAAAAGGATTTTAACACAATATTCCCATAACCCTCCTGCCTTACCTGTGCCCTTTTCTCCATGGCAATCACTAAAATCCAAGCCTGAAGCTATCATATTTTTCTGCCACTGGAACATTAATTGCAACACGTTCCCATGCCACTTCCCAGGGCACAACAGTCTTTGGTGACATTCAAGAAATGCCACTTGCTCATCACCACTTTCCCCTGAATGGTATGGATAGCACAGTTCAGGTTTTTATTTTTCATGTCCCTGAAAGCTCTGCTCAGATACCAAGCTCAGGGATTCAGAGTGAATCAATCAATTTAAACAAAATTAATTCAGAGTGATAAACATCTCCTGACAGCACTTCAGAGACTTACTCAGAACAGTGTTTCAAAAGAACAGTACAATCAGGACACACAGGAAGTGGGGCTCTCACCTTTCCAGGAAATAGGGCAGGGAGACTCCGGTCAATGAGGTCACGTTCTTCCTGAATTTGCCTGTAATTGTCTGACATGTTCATCAGCAATTCATTCTCTGGCTTGTGAAGAATTTCTATAAATAAAAAATGTCACACAATTGGTGCTGCACTTCTGGGCACACCCTTTGCTACTCTTACTGTTCACCTGTAACCCACCCACACAGTTCCCTGCCAAATCCACTATCCCTTCCCCAACCAGAGCCACCAGTTCATCTTCCCACCCCATCCAGAGCCACCAGCATAAGCAGTGTGGAAGCTCTGAGAAGATGGAGTTAGACTGCAATGGCAATAGGATTACACCTGGTGGGCAATGACCGCTGTGGTTTGGTGTGGGGACATCAAACTTCTCCACCTGCACACAGAATTTCACAGAATGAGACCTCCTTAGCTTTTCTCACCTCCTAGGTGTTTCTCCTGCTTTTTCCTCATTGCCATATGATGGTTCCAGTTCTGGAAAGCTTTGTGCTCTGCTAGTTTGGCCTGATGTGCCTTTTCTTTCTTCTCTCCTCCATGTTCCTCTTTTAAAGCTGCTGCAGTAACATCTGGATGAGGAATCTTAATAGCATCTGCTAGCTGATGAGAGATTAAACATTAATGAACCTCTCCATGCACACCAGAACAGGAATGGGAGAGGGAAGAATTCTTCAGATTAACAGCACTGTTATATTAGTAATCTGAGAGGAAGGAAACCAGGGGAATAGGGACACACTCAGATACAAAGGAAATATTTATCTGAGTAATGAGACTCCAGCAATGGCATTGCTGCAACACCAGCTCTTCCCTGAAACTATCAGCAGGGCACAGAGGGAAGAGGAAGCCTGTGTAATTGTTCCCTCCACGACCTGGTCCTGCACAGAGGACTCCAAAACCTGCTGGTGCAGTTTCTCTGAAGGCAAACCCTCCCAGAGAGTGTGAGGCTGGGAGAACCACACCTCAGGCCTGCCCTGCTCCTGATAGGTGCTGGAAAGCATCGAAAGGTACTGCAAGCACCACACTCCACCTCTGGAAAAGTGCCACGCAGCAGCATTTTCCTAACTCTGCAAACCAACCTGAGTGTTTCTTCTGGCCAAGGCCTCCATCTTTAACTCCTGGAGACTTCCCAAAATGTGATGAGGGAGGATCTCTTCACAGCCATCATCAAACTGTCTTGGTCCTACAACATATGTATAAAAATACCCAACCCCAGAGCCAGGTCACTGAAGTTTGGCTTAGCAGAAACAAAACCCAGAAGTAAGATGTGAAGTTGAATCCTACCAGGAAAAGTCAGTGGTCCCCTGGGTGCCTTGGGGTGAACAGGATGTGCTACAAGATGTGCCACCTCCTTGGGTCGGTATTTGCGGACAAGGTAATTCTTCCGAACTGGAATTCTCCCAGCATCATGGGGAAGGCGTGGAGCATGAAGCTTCAGGAAATAAACAGTCACAGTGCAGTTAGGTACACAGTGACTCACCTTTATTCCATCTGATCCTTTTAGGATATACACAGTAGTCATATCAGTTCCTGTAAGGGTCCTGTGAGTCCTGGATAGGGACTTTTCACATGGACATGTAACAACAGGATGAGGAAGGAATGGATTCAAAGTAGAAGAGTAGATTTAGACTACCTATTAGGAAAAACTCTTCCCTCTGAGGGTAGTGAGGCCCAGGCACAGAGTGCCCAGAGAAGCTGTGGCTGCCCCATCCCTGGAAGTGTCCAAGGGCAGGCTGGATGGGGATCAGAACAACCAAGAATAGCGGAAGGTGTCCCTGCCACGCCGAGGGGGGAAGGGTGGAGACAGATCAGTTTTATGGTCCTTTCTAAGCCAAATCTTCTGTGATTCTTCCCCTACAGGACACTTTGTGCAGACAGCACAGTGACACAGCTGTGCAGATACCAACTCAGTTACTGTCTTACTCCTCTGGATCTTGGTTTATAACAGGGGCGTGAAAGGAGAGTTTTAAATCACTTTCCAGAAGAGATTTCTGCTGCTGTGACACTCAAATGCTTCCACTCACACACTGTGACCTGCTTTTTGGAAGGAAAGCCAACAAAGCTACTAAACAACTTACACATCTCATTAGATCAGAAAGCTGAAGATGTAATTTTGAAGAGGCAGATGACTTACCCTTCCATTTGAAAGGACTGCACAGGCACCTATAATGCTTTACTTTCAGCAACTGAACCTGATGAGCTGACATTTTATCATGATAAAAAGCCCTACAGACAAAATGGCATGAGAACTCAGCTGCAGGAGTGAGTTTTGGCTTTAGTAAATGGGCAGCACCCTCTGTTAAACACACAAAAGGAGAGTGTCAGTTAAGGCAGCTATTTCTAGCAGCAAAAATACTCATACATACTTTCTCCAGGTCCTCCACCTTAATTTCAAGTGCCTGGATGTCCTCTCCTTGCAGAACATATGGAACAGGCTCATGCTCGGGCTCTTCTGCAATAGTTGAACAGGGCTGTTCCAAAGTCTTTTCCTTCCTGCCTAAAAAACAGATGAAGGGACTTCTTCAGTCTCCCAAGGAAGCACCATATTTCTGTCAGGATAGTTAATGATTTCCAGATGAACTATGTTTTGGGATTACTTCTCTTTAAGGTTCCACAGAACAATTAAATTCAACATCTCTTGTAACTGAAAAAAATATCATCATCTGAGAACCTCCAAAAACCAAAGTGGGTCAAATAGGAGTAAGCTGTCTCAAACTTTATTCTAGATGAGAGACAACGGGTAGGGTAAATGCAAACAAATACAGATGCCTGCAGATGGAACAACACATCCCTGGGAAGTGTCCAGCTCCAGCTGCAAGTACACAGATAACCTGCGCTCACCCAGCAGGGCTCGGATAACAAAGCACTGGGTTCCAGGAGCTGCTCAGGGTCGGAAGAGCTCTGCAACACCAACGCCGGACAGAGCCGGGTGCGGGGCAGCTCCGCCGGCCCCAGCGGGCCAAGCTTAGGGGATTCCACCAGGGGCTGCTCCCCCTTAACCTGCGCGCCCCTCCCGCTGGGACTTGCTCCTTTAAAATAACAAATATCACAATAATGACAGGAGGTCACTGGCTGGGGAAGGGGCTGGTCCCGGCCTCTTCAACCGCGGCCCCTTCGAGGCCGCAGGCTCGGCCTGGCCCGGCCCGGCCGCTCGCTGCCCAGCCGCGCCCTGCTCCGGGCCGTACCAGGGGGAGTGCGGCACCGGGACCGAGTCCCCCGCCGCGCCGCCATGTCCCGAGCAGCGCCGAGGGGCCGGTCCCGCCGCAGGTCGCGATGGGTCGCGACAGGACGCGCAGGCACCCAGCGGGCCCGGGCAGCGCCCCCTGCCGGCGCTCCGCGGCACCGCTCCCCCGCCCGGGCCGCACCGTGCGCATGCGCCGCCTGCCCACACGCATGCGCCGTGCGGCTGCGACACGGCCAGGGACAGCGGGGTACCGGACCGCAGCGGGATCGCTGGATAGACCGGGATACCCGGGACACCGAGGACACTGGGGCTTTGGGACACCCGGGACACCGAACACTGGGCGAATAGGAACACACGTGGCACGGGGATACTCGGACACAGCGGGATATTGATGCGCCAGGACTCCGGGATACCCGGATGTGAGAAACGACGCTGACTTTTGAAATTTCAAAGGTTTATTAAACCATAACAAAATACAAGGACTGAATAAGGAACGAGACGGCACCGAGAGCACGTGACCGTCTGCCACGTGCTCACTCACAAAATGGCTGCTCCACCTTTCTTTGGGGGGGCACAGGTAACCCTGGCCCCGCCCAGCGCCTGTCAATCAACTCTTCTTGGCCGCCCATTGGTGGATACTGCTTTAGTGCACCTTGATTGGAGCTCAGCTGTTGCCGCGCTTGCGCGAAACAAGCCCGCCCTCAGGTCATCCACTGTCAACAATCCAAGCGTGAGGGGAGAGGAGACTGTGTGGAGAACAAATCACAATAACGTAACTGTAATAAATGGAATTGATTCGTGCTAACTAAACTGTAGTTGTTATTAAAGTTATTATTAGAAGCAATCAAAAGAATCATGGTTACAAGGCAGATGCACCCCTTTACAGATGTTACATGTTAAAACTGAGGTTCAGGATGTAGTTTGGAAGTGATGTCCCGAGACGAAAATGGCCTTGAGATGGACAAAATTAGAATGACTTTGTAACACGGACACCAGGGACATGGGACACCGGGCTTCAGGACACACAGAACCCCAGGATACAGGGGCCCACCCTGCAGTAAAACCTGCTACTGCCCCTGCCCCAGCACCCCTCTGCCAGCACGCTGCTCTTGAGATTTATTATCCATTGTGGCCACTTACAGCCCTCACATCCCGGCCACCAGCTCGTTCTTCTGCCAGGTGGGTTCTTCCCTCGGTGGGCGCCGGGCAGCGCCCAGCACCCGCTGCAGCTGCCAGAGCAGGTCAGGCAGCAGCGAGTCCAGCACGGCCAGGCCAGCCCAGGTGCACCGCAGCCCCCTGAGAAAGAGGTGGTGGTGAGCGCCGGTGCCCCGGGGAGACCCCCGGCCCAGCCCACGGCTCCCTAGGGCTCACCTGCTGTCCAGGACAAGCCAGCCCTCCTGCTGAAGTGCCTGAGCCTCCCCTGGCTCCCCAAACACGGCCTGCAGGCTGAGCTGGGGGGAGAAGTGCCCCCAGCGCTGTGTGCCCAGTGTGAGAGAAGAATGTTAGTGATCGGGCATCAACATCCCAGTACCCAAAGGGGCTACGAGAGAGCTGAAGAGGGGCTTTGTAGACAGGAATGGAGTGACAGGAAAAGAGAGGAATGGATGGAAACAGCAGATTTGGATTAGATATTGGGAAGAAATTCTCCTGTGAGGGTGGTGAGGCCCTGACATAGGTTGCCCAGAGAAGCTGTGGATCCCATCCCTGGAAATGTTCAAAGCCAGGTTGGACAGGGCTTGGAGCAACCTGGTCCAGTGGAAGGTGTTCCTGCCCATGGCAGGAGGTGGAATGAGATGGGCTTTAAGGCCACCCAATCCAAACCATTCTAGGATTAGCATCAGGTCAGTGTGGGGTGTCCCCACAGATGGCTCCTGACCTCCTGTGTGATGCCTTCATCCGTGCGCAGTCCCAGGGTGAGCAGCTCCTCCAGCCTGTGGGGACACAGAGAGCTGTGGGGCAGCACAGACAGGGAGGGGGCATGGGGAGGGACCCCTGTACTCACTGCTCCAGTAGGCTCAGCACCACCCGACTCCTGGTGCCGTGTCCCCGGCTCTGCACCTCCTGCATCCAGGTGACAGGCTCCAGGGTCTGGACACGAGCTTCCCGGCTACAGCCACCTTCACCCCGCAGCACAAAGCGCCCATGTGCCCCTGCGGCAGCCAGGGAGGGGGGACAGTGGAGCTCGTGGAGCTCAAGGTGCACATGGCCATACACTCCCCCACACTGGCCTTCTATCACCCCCTTACCTGGCCCCACACCGATGTACTGGTCACCCCGCCAGTATGAGAGGTTGTGGGTGCTGAGGGCGCCCTGTAGGGAGAACCCTGGGGTGAGGGAAGGGGCTGAGCCTGCTGGGGGACCAGCATGACCCGGGGGGACACAGCATGGGGGGCATCTCACCTTCCGTGCAAAATTTGAGACCTCATAGTGGCGGAAGCCGGCGCCCACCAGCGCAGTGCGGGCAGCCTGGTACATGTCAGCCAGCAGATCCTGGGGGGATGCGGGCAGGGCTCCCCTCTGGACCTGTGCTGCCAGCACCGTGCCCCGCTCCAGCGTCAGCTGGTACAGGGAGATGTGGTCGTCACAAAGCCCCAAGGCTGCCTCCAGCCTCTGGGCCCAGGCATCCTGGCTCTGTCCCGGCAGCCCAAACAGGAGGTCGATGGAGGTTCGGCCAGGGAAGAGCCCCCGCGCTGCTTCCACAGCCTTCCGTGCCTCTGCCGCTGTGTGCTCCCGGCCCAGCATCCTCAGCTCGGCATCATCCAGCGACTGCAGAGGGAGCGTGGTGACAATGGGGCCATGGGGGGCTGCGGGCACTGCGGAGGGGCGAGCCCCTCTCACCTGCACGCCGATGGAGAGGCGGTTGACCCCAGCTGCCCTGAAGCCGGCAAGGCGCAATGTGCTGGTGGAGCTGGGGTTGGCCTCCAGCGTGACCTCAGCACCAGAAGGAAGGTGGGCAGCCCCCGCCACAGCCTCCAACACTGCTGCAACAGTGCTGGGGCTGGCCAGGCTGGGGGTGCCCCCGCCGAAGAAGACGGAGGTGACGCTGTAGGGCAGAAGGTGGGAAGCTGCAGGTGGGCACGGAAGGGCCCAGTACTCCCCATGAGCCCACCCTGCACACCCACCTGTGCACCTGGCCGAGGCACAGCAGGGTCCGTGCCTCCCGCACCAGACAAGCGCGCACAGCCGCCTCGTCCACCGCCGGCACCACGTACGTGTTGAAGTTGCAGTAGGAGCAGCGCTTGCGGCAGTAGGGCCACTGCGGGCACGGGGCGTGTGGGGACGGCCATGCCCTCACCCCTAGCCATTCCACTTTGAGGGGAAACAGCCCCAGCCCAGTGCAGTGACCCCAGTGCCCGCCCACCTGCCCTACAAGGCACACAGGTGTGACCCTTCAGCTCAGGCCTAGCCCCATGACACGTACAAGGCTGGGCTCTCCCCAGCGTGTGCAAACCCCGGGGTCCCACATACACCCACGTGTGTGCGAGTCCCAAGGAGCCACGTTCACCTTCCACCTGTGCCAGCCCCGTGCCCCTCGAGGTGCACAAGCCCCAGGACCCACGCGTGTCCCCACGTGTGTAAGCCCGTGACTCTTCGTGCAGCCCCGCACATACACAAGCCCCGGGCTCCCCCCCGTGTCCCCGCTCACATGCACGTAGAGCGCGGCTGTGGCGGGGGCGGCCGTTTCTGGGAGCGGCTCCGGGGCCGGTTCCAAGGCAGGAGCCGGTGCCGGTGCTCGTCCCGGGCCGCCCCCGCCGGGCAGCGCCGCAGCGAGAGCCGCCAGCTTCCGCAGCCGCTTGCGCAGCGCCGCCATGGCCCGAGAGCCGCGGGACCGCCCGCAGCGGGCGGGCACCGAGCGGGGCCGGCCCCGGCGTGCGCGGGGCTGGGCGGGGAGCAGCGCCCGCGGGAGGGAGCGGGGGCAGCTCCCGACGGGGCTGGGCAGGGAATGCTCGCTGTGAACGACGGGGATGCTGCGCTCAATGTCCTCTCCCGGTACCGGGAATGCCAGGGCCGGTGTCCTCCCCCGGTGTCCTCCCCAGACGCACGGTCCGAACGAGGTTTCGGACCTGCCCCCGCATCCTTCCCCGGCTGCTTCTCGGGACCGGGAAGGGTTTCCCAGTGTTTCGGCTGAGGAAGGTGGCATTTCCCCACTCAGGGCTGTGCAAACCCGCAGCTGGTGAAGTAGTCTCTATTAATATTCACGAGAAGCTCTGAAATGCCCGTGACAAAGGCTGTGACTGCAGATTCCTATTGCCAGGCCAGAAACGCAGAGTTCGGCATAACTCATCACTGCTGTAACCTTCCCACTCCGGGGAGTTTCCGAGCAGGCAGCGAGGATTGTAAGAGTGGGACTCAGGCACGGGCAGGGCAGAAGCCATGGAGCGAGCCTGGAGTACTGCACACACCGAGACCGCACTGCCAGCCACAGGGGCCAGCTTTTCCTCTTCCGTGAGTATTTACAGCCGGCGATTCATCATCCCAGGGGTTGGGAAGGGGCAGGAGGCGCCACGGGAGGTGTCCTGGCTGGCGAGGGCTGGATATGCTCTGGGAAAAGCATGGGATGGTAGGGAAAGCCTCCTTGGGACCAGAGTCTGCCAGGGCTCAGACCCATGGGTGGTGCTGCCCCACTCCCAGGACAGGAGCAGGAGGGGGGTGGCAGGGACTGTTCCCCCTGTGCTGGCTGTGACCAGGACTCACTGGTTTTCTCAGCTGTGTGTCTGTCCTCACCAGCCAAGCCTGGTGTCATTCATTTCTTATCCACTGCCCCCCATCTACAGTGAGTACATGGGGCAGAGCAGGGGTTGTGCCAAGGGTGGAGGTACTGATCAGGGAGGGGAGGAGAAGCTCCACTCACTGCAGGCCTGTCCTGCACCTGGGTTAGTGCTGTGGGAAGCAAAAGAAGGTAAACAGTCCTTCCCTAGGCATCAGGCACAGAGGGCCTCTGTGTCCCCAAGGTCCCTGGCTACATTTGCTGTCATGCAGGTAACACTTCTTCCCTCGGGAAGGAAGGGAGGGAACCAGGGGAAGGAGGAGACCTGAGTGAAATGTGGAAGGATCAGTCCTGAAAACAGCCCCACGAGCAGTGTGGGAACAGGATAGGAACTTGTTGGAAAGACATTGCAGAAGGAGTCTGACACAAACCATCCATGTTTTTTTCTTTCAGAGTGCAGATGTGGACAGGAGACTTGCCCCCACCGTCTGCTTCCACGGATAGAGCCTGGAGAGCAGCTGCAAGATGAAGGATTGAGACCTCACTGATGCTTCTCCTCTCTCCCTGTCACACCATTGCCCTCCACCCACTGGAGGAAGCCACAGCGTGGAGGGGGCCCAGCCTTTGCTCTGAAAGGAAGCAGGAGGGAGACAGTGGGAGGTCAGCAAGAGTTGGCAGCAACATTATCTGCTTTCCAGCTGTGCTGAGATGCTTCTGCTGGCAAACAGGAGCTCTGCTGTCCCTCTTCTCACAGGAGTGTTTCATGGTTGGGATGTACCAAATAAGTCCTGTAAAATGCTGGTATGCTGTGCTTCACTCTGCCAATGGGACAGGAATTTTGGTATTTCTGCAACAACCTTACTGTCTGTCTTGTCCAAAACAACAAAATAAACAAAGCCATGTCTGTCTTGGAGAATGGTTTTTTTTGGGAAACACCTGGGGGAGGTATGGGAACAGAGTGAGCTTTTCCAGCCAGTTTTAGGGAGCCCCAATGCAAAGTCTCATTCTTTGAACTCCCTGCCCCTCATTTCAGGTTCAGTAACTTTTAAATGACCCAGCAGTCTCACAACATCCAAGGAGAAAAGGCATCACCTACCCTGGGAAGCCAGGCCAGGGCATTTGGACTTAAAGAGTGTCAGTAAAATACCCACCAGCATCTGTCCAACTCCTGTGAAATGGCTGCAGCCAAACTCAGAGACACAGAAAATAGTTAAACCTTCATAAGGTCTTTCAGCAACTGGACAGAATTCCAGAAATAAGCATCCCTTCCTCACATCACCTCACACCAGTATTTCTGTTGGCAAAGAAACAAGCCCAAATGGGAAAAAAGAGCTTTGTTTTATTGACTAAAAGTGCCATCAGCCTGATGTCAGGGAGGAAAGTCTCCACTGCTTAGCCCAAGGCACAGGGGAAAAGCAGACTCAGAGCTGAATGAAATGGGGCTGATTTATCCTGGATTTTGCTCTGCCTTCCAAATCTCAGAGCTGCAGGTGCTTCTCCATCTGCTCTCTTAACATGTATTTCTGAATCTGGAATAGAAGGCAGAGAGGAGGGAGAGAGAGAGACTCCAAGAAGAGCTGGGACAGAATTCCAGGATTCCTGCCCTGCCCCAGCCCCCTCTTACCTTGCCTGAGACAGTGAGTGGGTACTGCCTCACAAATACAACATAATGCGGAATCTTGAAATGCGAGATCTGGAAAGAGAAAAACTAGGGCTACACAACCTGAAAGGAACAGCCTGGCACAATCAGGGCTGGGTCCCCCAGCACTGTAAATCCATGGGCTTTTGTCCACCAGTCCCCAGCAGCCACTAGGTGTAGTGGTCTGGAAGGAAACTGAGGACTGAGAACCCACCTTCCCTTTGCAGAAAGCTTTAATCTCTTCCTCGGTGCAGTCCTGCCCAGCCCGCAGTCGGATACAGGCACAGATCTGTTCTCCCATCCTCGAATCCTTCACACCAACCACCTGGTTGGGACAGATGGACAGTGTGACCCTTGGGGATGTCCCTGGCCTCCCACAGGATCTGTGTGTGAGCCCATGGCATGTTCCCTGACCCCATACCACAGGGTGCTGGAGCATTGTGGATGCAACATGGACCTGTCATCCCTCTGCTTCCAAAAAATGGGGCAAGAGGTTTCACAAACAACAAGGAGACTTGGTAGACTGACACCAGTGTTTTGGGATCTCCAGATGGAATGGCAGGGAAGGGATGAGGTTGAATTAAAGGATTATTTAAAACCCTTATAATCACAGATCTTAGTGGACCACTGCCTGTGACACCAGGAAATGGGTTTCCAAAGCCTGAGCTCTGTCCAAAGCTTGCTCCCACTATTCCACAAGAATCCTACTGTCATTCCCTGCCTTGAACCAGTATCTCAAACTGGTAGTGACACGTTGATCCTTTTGAGTCCAGAGCAATGACATAAAGCCTTAGAAACCACATAAAAAGGGCTGGTGTGCAACCCATCTGCACTGGGACTGTTCCAAGGAGAGATGCTTGCCTGGCACAGGCAGAACTCTGACTAAATAACCAGTTTATTTATGGGGGAAACTTGTCTGGCACAAAACCTGGAAGAGAACAATCCCAGCAGACGGGGAGCAGCTGCTTAGTCCTGGAAATCTTTGCGGTCTTGCGAAGGAGTGAAAGTTTCACTCCTCATCTCCTGGGACTTGTTGAAAGAGTCTTCCTGGATGTCAGAGTTGAGCAATTATCAGTAAAAACTGTCCTTCCAGGCTGCTTTCTGAGTAAGAATTTCAGAGGGAGCTGTGAAAGTGGACAGGCAGTTTGCAGATATGCAGCTGGAACACAAGGGGATTGCCACAATCTATATGCCTCATGCTAGGAGCCCTGCCTTCCATCCCATGCTTCTCCCTCCTCATTGCTAACCAGTATTAAATGGAATTTGATGTTGAAAACAGGGAAAGACAAACAGGTTCCAAACAGCAGTCCCAGAAACTTTATGTACAGGATTCCCAAAGATAGCTGCTCACCCACCCTACCTCCTCCCACTCACCTGGACCTCCTCAACCTTGGGATGGGTGTGGAGGAACTGCTCAAGTTCTGCTGGATAGATGTTCTCTCCTCCCCGAATAATCATGTCCTTGCAACGTCCTATAATTTTGCAGTAGCCATGCTCATCCAGGCTCCCAATGTCCCTGCAATGACAACAGCCTTCTAGTCCTGTCCCAGCTGGGTGGAAGGATGGCTGATGTTCCCACCCATGCAGGGTGGTATCAGAGGATAATGGCTGAGATGCCACCTGAACACATGGAAGAGATCAAAGAGCTCCTGTTACAGAAGCTGGCAGTATCCACACAAGCACCAGGGTTTAGGGGGGAGGCAATGCCTGCCCCTGCCCTGTACCTCCACAGTCCCACCATGCACAAGTGGCCAGTGACAATCCCCCTCTCCAGGGACACTCAGCACCAAGGGCTCTGTGCTAAAAGCACTTCTGAAGTGTCACAGACAGATCAGAGGGATAAACTGGGGCAGTTTTCTCTGCTTTGGAAATCCCAGCCAAGCACTCCTATATTTACCCATGCATCCCCATCCAGTGTCACCCTGTGGGACCATCTGGGAGAAGTGGGGCTGTTCTCAGACTCACCCTGTCTTGTACCACCTCTCAGCAGTGATCACTTCACTTGTCTTGGCAGGGTCATTCCAGTAGCCCAGCATGACACAGTAGCCACGGATCTGAAGCTCCCCAGGAGTGTTCAGAGGCACAGATTGCCCTGTTTCTGGATCCTCAATTTTTGCCTGTAAGTGAAGAAGGGATTAGTTAGACACCAGCATCAGACAAGAAGGATGGAGTGAGGTCTGCTGCCGGCAGAGCACCTGGAGCACGTGGGAAAAGTCATGGTCACCTCTGTGTGGGGAAAGATGTATCCCACTGTCTCCGTTTTTCGGTCAATGCTGTCATTGGGGAACCCCATGAACGTGACAGGGCTGTTTTCTGTGGTCCCATAGGCAACCTGCAAACACAGGAGAGGAAATGTGTCTCAAGGGGAAAGGGGACTGCACTGCTTCAGGTACAGGAAAGACAAAGCTGATCATGACTGCAGGGGACAGTGGGGTGTGAGGAGGATGCTCCCCCAGGTTGCTCA